AAAAAAAAAAAACATATCATTGCTGACAAAAAGTATAAGGAAAATAATTAGGCACTAATGAGACATTAATCAGCAATATATATAAGAATATGTTACTCATAAAAATGCATTACACAAAAAGAACTAGGCTATAAAATAAGGGGGAGAGGTAAGAATGCTGCATACTGTCGCAACATGAGTAAACTAAAACCTTCCAATGCAAGACTCTTCATAGATTCAGTCTCAAGTGACAATTAAGACACCAATAATTCCCAGTTTCATTAACAGTAATTGCACACATTACAAGACAATTGCACCTCTTTGAAACCACCTTTTTTAACCCCAGTTGTCTTCAGAACGTCCAATTTTATAGATGACTGAGCTGAAGAAGATGAACATGTTTTGGAGAAATACAGCAACACCAGGCCAGAAAATATTACTCTCTGTAATGGGAAAAAGGCACATTAAATATATATACAAATATTTACAGACATACATATATATATGTACTTATCTATCTGTGTATATTCTATTCTACTGTAAGCAAAGGGATAGACTCTGTATAAAAAAAATGAAGCATGCTTACATTGAAATACAGGTAAAATTATATATATATATATATATATAATTTTCATAAGAATACTTGCTGTTGCACTTCCAAATTTCATATCAGCTGTAATCATCCACAAAATTCAAACATCAATATGAATATGTAACACATATTTTACACACCAATTACATTCGCACAACACACAACAACAATCCACACCTACCCGGAATAAGACAAACGAAACGAAAAACTTTGCGTACGCTTCCCGCAACAACGACAAAAACTTACTTGGGATGACATAGCCCCCAAAGAGGATCCAGCCGGCGGCGATGAGCGAGCCGAAACTGAGCATGAGTCCTAGGAAGAGCCAGATACGTGCGCCGAGGGGACCCATGCATCCATCCGTGTACATGTCCCCTCGCACTTGTCCGTTGCTCACTGAGTTGACCCTGGGGGAGGCAGGAATGGGGTAAGGTGGTTAGGCATCTGTGTGTGAATGGAAATGAGAATGGGAAGTGGAATAAAAACAGAGGAAAGAGATGGATGAGACACAGAGCAAGGGGAAACAGTAGGAAAGAGGAAGAGGCACAAAAAGAAGAAAAATAAGAGGGAAGAAGCAGAGGAAGAAGAAATAGAATATAATGAAATGGAGAAGAAATAGAATAGAAGGAAATGGAGAAGAAATAGAATATAATGAAATGGAGAAGAAATAGAATAGAAGGAAATGGAGAAGAAATATAAGCAGGAGGAATAAAAGGAACTAAGGAGGAATAAGAGGAGAAGGAGGAGAAAGAGGAGGAGGAGGAGGAGGAGGAGCAGAAAGAGGAGGAGGAGGAGGAGGAGGAGGAGGAGGAGGAGGAGGAGGAGGAGGAGGAGGAGGAGGAGGAGGAGGAGGAGGAGGAGGAGAAAGACGAGGAGGAGGAGGAGGAGGAGGAGGAGGAGGAGGAGGAGGAGGAGGAGGAGGAGGAGGAGGAGAAAGAGAAAGAGGAGGAGAAAGAGAAAGAGAAAGAGGAGGAGGAGGAGAAAGAGGAGGAGAAAGAGTAAGAGGAGGAGAAAGAGTAAGAGAAAGAGGAGGAGGAGGAGGAGAAAGAGGAGGAGGAGGTGGAGAAAGAGGAGGAGGAGGTGGAGAAAGAGGAGGAGGAGGAGGAGAAAGAGGAGGAGGAGGAGGAGAAAGAGGAGGAGGAGGAGGAGAAAGAGGAGGAGGAGGAGGAGAAAGAGGAGGAGGAGGAGAAAGAGGAGGAGGAGGAGGAGAAAGAGGAGGAGGAGGAGGAAGAGGAGAAAGAGGAGGAGGAGGAGGAAGAGGAGAAAGAGGAGGAAGAGGAGAAGGAGGAGGAGGAGGAGGAGGAGGAGGAGGAGGAGGAGGAGGAGGAGGAGGAGGAGGAGGAGGAGGAGGAGGAGGAGGAGGAGGAGAAGGAGGAGGAGGAGGAGAAGGAGAAGGAGAAAGAGGAGGAGAAAGAGGAGGAGGAGGAGAAAGAGGAGGAGGAGGAGGAGAAAGAGGAGGAGGAGGAGAAAGAGGAGGAGGAGGAGAAAGAGGAGGAGGAGGAGAAAGAGGAGAAAGAGGAGGAGGAGGAGGAGGAGGAGGAGGAGGAGGAGGAGGAGGAGGAGAAGAAAGAGGAGGAGGAGGAGGAGAAAGAAGAAGAGGAGAAAGAAGAGGAGGAGAAAGAAGAGGAGGAAGAGGCAGAGAAAGAGGATGAGAAAGTAGGAGGAGAAAGAGGAGGAGGAGGAGGGGGCAGAAGAAGAAGTTGTAGAAGTAGATGTAGATGTAGGAGACCAAGATGTGGGCTCTACAATACTATGGTGAATGGTGAGGCAGATGACCCAGATATCTTGATTCCTTTATTCTATCAGATTTTGGAGTGTGGTAGCTCCTCCTTGAGTCCCTGTAAGGAGTCTGCCTGTCCTTTTTATGCTACAGTTAACCCATTGCCGCCGGGGAAAATGAACAAAAAATGGGGAAAATGCTGTGCCTAT